GACGCGGCGGCCCGCCTTGGGGTTTTTGCGCCTTCCTTCGTTGCCTTTCAGCTCTTTTCCCCCCCACGCGGCGGGATTCGAACCGGCGCCCCGGCTGGCTGGCTGCGCTTCCCTGAAAGGGAATCTGGGTGCAGACCTTTCTTTGCTTTTTTTTGGATGGGGGGGCTGTTTTCCAGGACAGTGTGGAGGAGAGCCCCCCTTCCCTTCGGCCTCCAGCCTGGGGGGGAGGCCTTACCGGTGGGATGTCGGCCTGAGCCATCCCCACCCGGCTTGCCTTGGGCAGTCCCGTTGGTTTTTATTCTCGGTGGGGTTGGCTCCCCCCCCCACTTTCTCCCGCCCCCCCCTCCCCTGGCTGTGCTGCAGATGGGTAGAAATTCAGAGCAAGACCAGCTTTGGAGGGGGGGGGCGTGTGTGTGTGTGTGTGTGTGTGTGTGAGAGAGAGAGAGAGAGAGGGGGAGATGTTGGCATGGAGGAGGCCTATCAGCTGACTTGATCCAGGGAAAGTGTGTGTGTGTGGGGGGGCGTGTGAGTGTGTGTTTGCATCCAGCAGACGCTTGCTGCAATGCCAGCACTTTGCCAACGGGTGGGACTCCGACTCCCATGCTGCTCCGCCGAGGGCTGCGGCAGAGCCTCATGGGGGCTGTAGTCCCATGCCTTCTGCAGGGCTCCGAGGAGGAGGAGGAGGAGGAGAGGTGGATAAATCAATACAGCCGGTCCTTTTGAGCCCACAATTTCGGTGGCTAAACGAGATGTTTGTTGAACGGGCTTTTGCCCCGTTTTGCGACGTTCCTTGCCCACAGCCGTTAAGTGATTCGCTGCAGCTGTTCAGCTAGTAAATTGGTTGTTAAATGAATTGGGCTTCCCCCCGTTGAATTGGCTTGGCAGAAGGTCGCAAAAGAGGATCGAGGGGGTCCCGGGGACGCTGCGGCCCGTCATAAATAGGAACCAGTTGCCCAAGTGTCGGAATTTTGATCGTGGGGACGCTGCGACGGACGTAAGGGCGAAAAAGGGTCCTAAGTTACTTTATTTTCCAGGGCCGTCGTAACTTCGCACCGTCGTTAAACGAATGTAAGTCGAGGACTGCCTGTAATTTACTGGCCGCACCTGGCTCGGCCTTCAGGATGTATGGACTTCAGTTCCCAGAATCCCCGGCAGTGGTAGCAACAAGCATGGCTGCTGGCTGGAGAATTCTGGGAGTTGAAGTCCACATATCTTCAGAGCCTAAACCAGGGGTCTTCAAACTTGGCCCTTTTATGATTTGTGGACTTCAACTCCCAGAATTCCTCAGCCAGCGTGAGAGAATTATGACCCTTTGATGACTTGTGGACTTCAACTCCCAGAATTCCTCAGCCAGCGTGAGGGAACTGTGACTCTTTGATGACTGGTGGACTTCAACTCCCAGAATTCCTCAGCCAGCATGCCTGGCTGAGGAATTCTGGGAGTTGAAGTCCACCAGTCACCAAAGGGCCAGGTTTGAAGACCCCTGCCCTAAACCAAGGGTCTTTTAAACTCCCTACCTTCCAGAGGTGTGGACTTCACTTCCCAGAATCCCTAGCAGTGGTAGCCACAAGCCCGGCCACTGGCTGGGGGAATTCTGGGACTTGAAGTCCACCAGTCTTAAAAGGAGCCGAGCTTGGACACTCCTGTCCTAGATGGTGCAGGGAATATACTGCCCCCCCTTAACCTCCTCAGAATCTTTGGGGGCAGGTGCTAAGCCCCCCTCCCCATATTTTTTTTTCCTTAAAGGAAGTTGCTGTTTCACACCAGATCTCCAGTGAAAGCACAGACAGCTTCTCTTCACCCCCTCGCAGGGATCCTGCAGATGGGAAGCCGAGGCCCGTGCTGATCGGAAGTCGCCCGGAGTGGGGGGTCCCTCTCTGAAGTTGGGGATCATGGCAGCTCCAGGTTTGCCTTTTTTTTTTTCTCTTACTTCGGCTCCATGCGATGGCCGGTTAAGGGGACGAGAGAGACGGGAACTTCAATTTCCTGACAGTGAGAACAATTAACCCGTGGAACTCCTTGCCTCCAGAGGTTGTGAATGCTCCAACACTGGAAGCTTTTAAGAAGAGACTGGATGGCCATTTGTCTGAAATGGTAGAGGGGTTTCCTGCCTGAGCAGGGGGTTGGACTAGATGACCTCCAAGGTTACGTCCAATTGTTATTCTGTTATTCTTCCTCCCTCCCTCCCTCCCTCCCTCCTTCCTTCCTCCAACACTGGAGGTTTTTAAGAAGAGACTGGACTTCCATTTGTCTGAAATGGAATAGGGTTTCCTGCCTGAGCAGGGGGTTGGACTAGATGACCTCCAAGGTTCCATCCAACTGTTATCCTTCCTCCCTCCCTCCCTTTTCCAAAACTGGAAGCTTTTAAGAAGAGATTAATAGAGATTGAAATGATAGAGATTATCCTCCCTGAGCAGGGGGTTGGACTAGATGACCCCCAAGGTCCCTTCCAGCTCTGTTATTCTGTTCTGTTCTTATTTCCCGACATTTCAACTAAGCGCGTTTCTGTCGAGCCTTTTCCGCTTAGTGACATTTATAGATAGTCCTTGAATTACAACCACAGTTGGAACTTTCATGGCTAAGTAACAATTGTTCCCGGGGTCGTTAAGCAAACCTCTTCCGTTGTTAAGTGGATCGGGTGGTTCTTAAGTGAACTGCAGCTGGTTTTACAATTGGTGCCCGGGTTGTTAAGCGAATCTCCCGTTGTTAACTGAATCCGTTGACTTTGCTTGTCAGGTCGCAAGAGGGCGACCGTCATATGTACGAGTCCGTTGTCGAGCGTCTGAATTTTGATCACGTGATCAGGCTGATGCCGCAACGGTCGTAAAGTGTGGAAAACGGTCCCAAGTCCCTTTTTTTTTCCCAGGTTGAACGGTCAGTAAATGAACGGTTGTAAATCGAGGACTTCCTGCGTTCTGATTGGCATTGTGCAATGGGTCTGTGATGCGAACGTCCAAACAGTGATTTGGAAAATAAAAAATAAAAATTGAAATCTCTGTCTAAGCCAGAGTGGCCTGAGCTGATTTTGAGCCCAGCTGTTCTTTTTGTTTGGAAAAAAAAGTTTATTCTCTTTGGAAATGTCAGTTCAGGCTGGATCCTCTGGAACCGCAGATGGGATTAGTAAATTTGTTTTTTTTTTTCCACTCCTTTGGCTGTGCTTTTTCCTTCAATCCAACTGGTACATTCCTAAAAGCTGCACGTTTCCATGTCAGAATCCGTGGGGGAATCAGGCACTGCTAATTTGACTTCTTTTTCAATCTCAGCAACTTTTTAAGGTTTGTGGACTTCAACTCCCAGAATTCCCCAGCCAGCTAAGCTAAGCTGGCTAGGGAATTCTGGGAGTTGAAGTCTATACATCTTAAAAGTCGTCAAGGTTTTGAGAAAGACCCTTCCTATAAACCTGGCCACCATCCTCAGGATTTAAAACCGGGGTCTTCAAACTGGGCCCTTTGATGACTTGTGGACTTCAGCTCCCAGAATTCCTCCGCCAGCGTGAGGGAACTATGACCCTTGGATGACTTGTGGACTTCAACTCCCAGAATTCCTCAGCCAGCGTGAGGGAACTATGACGCCTTTATGACTTGTGGACTTCAGCTCCCAGAATTCCTCCGCCAGCGTGAGGGAACTAGGACCCTTGGATGACTCGTGGACTTCAACTCCCAGAATTCCTCAGCCAGCGTGAGGGAACTATGACCCCTTTATGACTTGTGGACTTCAGCTCCCAGAATTCCTCAGCCAGCGTGAGGGAACTATACTCTTTTATGACTCGTGGACTTCAACTCCCAGAATTCCTCAGCCAGCGCGAGGGAACTAGGACCCTTTGATGACTCGTGGACTTCAACTCCCAGAATTCCTCAGCCAGCGTGAGGGAACTAGGACCCTTTGATGACTTGTGGACTTCAACTCCCAGAATTCCTCAGCCAGCGTGAGGGAACTGACCCTTTTATGACTGGTGGACTTCAACTCCCAGAATTCCTCAGCCAACATGAGGGAACTAGGACCCTTTTATGACTCGTGGACTTCAGCTCCCAGAATTCCTCAGCCAGGCATGCCTGGCTGAGGAATTCTGGGAGTTGAAGTCCACAAGTCATCCAAGGGCCCAGTTTGAAGACCCCTGATTTAAAATCAGTGAGGAATCTGGGTAAAACGTAAGTGGCGGAAGAACTGGGGCAGGGAAGAAAAAAAGGAAAAATAAAAACAAAATCTCAATAAGGGTCCCGAGACAGACTTCGGAACTCCTTGCCCCAAGACAAAAGTCCTGCTTTAGAACGAAAAGGGTCCAAGCAGGTGAATTTCTAGATCACTTGCTGGCAGGAAAATTCTCCGTAGCCATTATGTTTGGCCCAATTGCCCGTACCTTCTCTTTTTTTCTATTTTTTGCAAATAGCGCAAATTTATTTTTATTTTACTGCTCGTTTGCAGCAGCAGGTAGCCGGGCAGAAGAGAAACGAAACTCCAATATAACAACAGTTTGCCTTTCTGAGAAACTCAATTTACACTTCCTGGAAGAGGCCGGTGAAAATGGATGGAGCCGGAGGGTGGTCAAAACAGGAAAAACGTGGGCAGCCTGAACGGAGATGAATTTCTCTAGGTCTTCGGCAATTTCCTTCTGAGAAATAAAATTTTAATGTGGCATCTTCGAGTGAGTCAGCCCACTTGAAAAGGCCTGTGACGTCACTGGAGCCACCATCTTTGTGGATCAGCCAGAAAGGCTAGCCAACTTTTTCAATTTTCGTTTTCTTTTTATTAATATTATTATTTTAATTGCTTTTGAGTCTTCGCTTTCCGACAGGTGCAGCTTTTGAATTGCCGCAGCTGCCCTACCGGCAGCAACCGAAAGATGGGATCAAAATCAACATTCTAATAAATTGTACCTTTGATGCCAACTTCTTAGAAATTGTTGCTTCCTGGTTGTCTTTTCCGGACGGCAAGACGGGGATGATGGGAGTTGGGATAGTCACCCGTTTCCTGAAAGCCCAGAGGGGGATGCAAGTATTGAGATGTACCTGTTTTTGAGTGAGGCTCAAAAACAGTAACGGTGAGATGGACCTTGGAGTCCTAGTAGATGATCACTTAACCATGAGCTAGCCATGTGCAGCAGCAGCCAAAAAAGCTAACACAATCCTGGGTTGTATAAACAGAGGCATAGAATCAAGATCACGTGAGGTATTAGTACCGCTTTGTAAAGCCCTAGTAAGGCCACACCTGGGATACTGCAGCCAATTTTGGTCACCATATCACAAAAAAAGAAGTTGAGACTTTGGAAGAAGTTCAGAGAAGAGCAACTCAGATGATCCAAGATCTGAAGACCAAAATATACGAAGAACGGCTGCGGGACTTGGGTTTGGCTAGTCTAAAGAAAAGAAGAAATGGGGGAGACAGGATAGTAGAGTTCCAGTATTTGGGGGGCTGCCACAAAGAAGAAGGGGGTCAACTTATTTTCCAAAGCATCTCAAGGCAGGACAAAAAGCAACGTATGGAAATAAATCAAGGAGAGAAGCAACCTGGAATTAAGGAGAAACTTCCTGACAGTGAGGACGATTAACCAGTGGAACAGCTTGCCTGTAGAAGTTGTGGTGGCTCCATCAATGGAGGTTTTTAAGAAGAGATTGGACAGCCACTAATTGTATAGGGTCTCCTGCCTAAGCAGGGGGTTGGACTAGAGGACCTCCAAGATCCCTTCCAACTCTGTTGTTCTACTATTTTGTTTTCCTTCCTTCCTGATTGGACAGCCACCTGTCTGAAATGGTGGAAGGTCTCCTGCCTGAGCAGGGGGTTGGACTAGATGACCTCCAAGGTCCCTTTCAAGACTGTTATTCTGTTATTCTTTTTTTTCCTTCCTGCCTGCCTGCCTGCCTGCCTTCCTGATTGGACAGCCCCTTGCCTGAAATAGTATAGAGTCTCCTTAAGCTTAAGCCGGGGGTTGGACTAGATGACCTCCAAGGTCCCTTCCAGCTCTGTTCTGATTAAATCTCTGTGTGTGCGCGTGCAGAACAGGTGGATTCCCAGAGAGGCTGAAGGCTGCCATGACAACGATGTGGGCGCTCCCGTTGCTTGTCTTTGTAGTTGTTTCAGGCAAAGCCGGCGGGACCGAGCCCGGAGGGTGGATGGAGGGCGTGGCTGGAATGCACCTGGGCAGGTTAGGGTGGGGAGGGGGAGGGAGAGGCTGGGCCAGCCCCTCCCCTTCTCTGATGTAACCTGCTGTCACTCTATGGGGCATCATTCCCACCACCACCCCAGTTGAAGGAGACCCCCACCTTTTTTTTTTTTTTTGCAATGAGTTTTTAATCCCATGATGGATTTTTAATTTTTGTTTAAAAAAAAATTATTTTTTTGCAAGCTGCCCGGAGTCGCCTAGCTGTGAATTTGGTGGCTTTATAAAACTCGCTGAATAAACAGCGCACAATCAACTTTGATGGCCTCCTGGAGTCCCGAATGCGAGACGCGCAGCTGCAGAGGGAGTCCTTGGCTTCAGAACGGTCTGTTTAGTGACCGACGTTACGAGGGCGGCTGAAAAACGGGACCGGTGACCCTTTTTTCCACGCTCGACCCATCGTCGCGGCCTCCGTGCGGTCACAATTAAGTAAAAATTCGGAAACTTGGCAGCCGATTCGCTTTTACGACGGTCGCGGTGTCCCGGGCTCACGTGATCCCCCCCCAATCGGCGAGCTTTGGACAAGGAAAATCAGTGGGGGAAGCTGGAGTCACTTCAGAACCGTGTTGCTAACTGAACAATTGTGTTGATTCACTTAACAACGTAAAACGGGGCAAAAGTCACTTTACGTCCGTCTCGCTTAGCAACATTTTGGGCTCAGCTGTGGTCATAAGTTGAGGATTATCTGTAAACATATTCTGACCTGGGCTCCTTTTAAACAATGGGGGTGGAAAAAGCTGCTTTGGGAGCAGAAATCTGTCCTTCCCCCCCCTTTTTTTCCCTCCCTGGATTGTTCAGGGTAGAAGGGACCCCCCTCCTCCTTCCCTCCAGGACTACATTTCCCATCCTGCACCTGTGCGCTTTGGAAACGGCCTCCGGAAGCTGTGGGTGCTCCCATCGTTGGAGGTTTTTCAGAAGAAATTGGATAGCTAGTTGCCCTGAACGGTCTATAGGGTCTCCTGCTTGAGCAGGGGGTTGGGCTAGATGACCTCCGAGGTCCCTTCCCAGTCTGCTAAATCTGTTAACTAACTGCCGCTCTTTGCAGGTAGGACAGACCCTACCTGCTTTGCTTAAAGGTGCAGTGTCAAGTTTCAGGAATTGAGCTTTATTTCTTTTCGTCCTTTTTTTTACAGGGTACCATGTTCCACAGCCAGGATACCCGGGCGCTTCTCCCCCTTACCCCGTTGTGCCGCAACCGCACGCTGGGCCTTCTGTCCCCAGCCCCGGGTTCAACGCCTATCCTGTCGCCGGCCCGGGGGCTGGCTACGTGGCTGCGCCCCAGCCACCCCCCCGGGGATACCGGGACCACTCCGCTTCCCCCCAGCACCCCCAGCCCAGCGATCCCCACGCCGCCATCACTCCTTACCTGCCTGTGTCGGCTGGTATCCCACCTGGCTTGGAGTACCTGACCCAGGTAAGACCCTGGACTGGGTGCTTGGGGGAAGGTGTGGGCCTTGCTAATCGCTTCTCCCCTTCCAGGTGGGATACAGGATGGGAGGTCAAAAATACAATTCCATTCTTTATTAAGTGCAAACGCGCAGAAGTGAATCTAAATCTCGATTTGAGGCGGCAGACCTCAAGGAACGGGCTCTTGAGTCGGCTTTGCTTGCAAAGCTCTGGGTTCAGGTTCTACAATTGAGAAGAGAAGAGAATAAAAATTAGACTAGAATAATAATTAGAATAGAATAGAGTAGAGTAGAATAATAGAATACTAGGATAGAATACAATAATAGAATAGAATAATAGAATAAAATAGAATAAGAATAGAATAGAATAAAAATTAGAATAGAATAATAATTAGAATAGAATAATAGAATAAAATAGAATAAGAATAGAATAATAGAATAAAATAGAATAGAATAGAATAAGAATAGAATAAAAATTAGAATAATAAATAGAATAGAATAGAAAATAGAATAAAATAGAATTAGAATAGAATAATAGAATAAAAATTAGAATAGAATAATAGAATTAGAATAGAATAGAATAGAATAAATAATAGAATAAATATAGAATAGAATAGAATAGAATAGAATAAATAATAGAATAAATATAGAATAGAATAGAAAAATAAATTACAGAATAGAATAGAGAATATAGAATAGAACTGAACAGAACATAGAATAGAATAATAAATTACAGAATAGAATAGAATAATAAAATACAGAATAGGATAGGATAGAATAGAAAAATAAATTACAGAATAGAATAGAATAGAGAATATAGAATAGAACTGAACAGAACATAGAATAGAATAATAAATTACAGAATAGAATAGAATAGAATAGAATAGAATATAGAATAGGATAGAATAGAATAATAAATTACAGAATAGAATAGAATAAAATAGAATAGAATAATAACATACAGAATAGAATAGAATAGAAAAATAAATTACAGAATAGAATAGAATAGAATAGAATAGAATAGAATAGAATAGAGAATATAGAATAGAACTGAACAGAACATAGAATAATAAATTCCAGAATAGAATAGAATAGAATAATAAAATACAGAATAGGATAGGATAGAATAGAAAAATAAATTACAGAATAGAATAGAATAGAATAGAGAATATAGAATAGAACTGAACAGAACATAGAATAGAATAATAAATTACAGAATAGAATAGAATATAGAATAGAATAGGATAGAATAATAAATTACAGAATAGAATAGAATAAAATAGAATAGAATAATAACATATAGAATAGAATAGAATAGAAAAATAAATTACAGAATAGAATAGAATAGAATAGAATAGAGAATATAGAATAGAACTGAACAGAACATAGAATAGAATAATAAATTCCAGAATAGAATAGAATAGAATAATAAAATACAGAATAGGATAGGATAGAATAGAAAAATAAATTACAGAATAGAATAGAATAGAATAGAGAATATAGAATAGAACTGAACAGAACATAGAATAGAATAATAAATTACAGAATAGAATAGAATAGAATAGAATATAGAATAGGATAGGATAGAATAATAAATTACAGAATAGAATAAAATAAAATAGAATAGAATAGAATAGAACAGAATAATAAAATATAGAATAGAAGGGAAGGGAAGGGAAGAGAAGAGAAGAGAAGAGAGCTGGAAGGGACCTTGGAGGCCCACCCGTCTTAAAGTTGCAGGGCTGGCTGGGGAATTCTGGGAGTTGAAGTCCACCCGTCTTAAAGCGGCCAAGTTTGAGGACCCCCGTTCTAAAGCAATGCCTATTGCTGTCCTCAGCCCATTTTCAGTTGTTTTTTTTTTTAATTTTTATTTTTGCACAGACTGTCTGCTGGTTTGCATTGGTGATGTAACTGCTTATCGCTCTCTCTGATTCTGCTCTCTTTGCTTCTCTTCAGGTAGACCAAATTTTGATCCATCAGAAGGTGGAACTTGTAGAAGGTATGGTGTCAAAGCAATTATTATTATTATTACTATTATTATTTCGAGACCTTGTGCATGGACAGAGTTCCGGGGGCCTGCCCAGATCTCTGCTTCTCTTAAGGCCTTGAACCGCGGGAGTTGTGAAGTCAGAAAGTGGAAGTGGAACAGCTGGCCACCAGAAATTGTGGGCGCTCCATCACTGGAGATTTTTAAGAAGAGACTAACTAGACCAGGGGTAGTCAACCTTGGCTCTTTTATGACTCGTGGACTTCAACTCCCAGAATTCCTGAGCCAGCTTGGCTGGCTCAGGAATTCTGGGAGTTGAAGTCCACGAGTCATAAAAGAGCCAAGGTTGCCTACCCCTGGACTAGACAATCACCTGTCTGAGATGGTGTAGGTTCTCCTGCTTGAGCAGGGGGCTGGACTAGAAGACCTCCAAGGTCCCTTCCAGCTCTGTTCTATTCAAGTTGGGGAACCCGATAGATCAGATATCTTTAAGACTTGTGGACTTTTTTTCCAACTCCCAGAATTCCCCAGCCAGCCCTTTTTTCGTTTCGTGAAGTCAAGATATATTAACTCTACTGCATTCCCACTATCTATTAAGAAAGTTCCCCAATCAAACAATGGGATAAAGTAGTACAGCCATATTTCTTCTTGTCCTACCCAGGCTGAATTCTGGTGAACCCTTTGCTGGCTGGGGAATTCTGGGAGTTGAAGTCCACACGTTTTATTAAAAGGGCTGGACACCCTTGCTATAAAGTTAATTTAAAAAAAAAACTAGGAAAAACAACGCCAAAGCATTGTCCATTCCCAATGGTCTGCCAGATTCTATATATTAGGGGTCTCCAAACACGGCCCTTTTAAGACTTGTGGACTTCAACTCCCAGAATTCCCTAGCCATCAAGGGTTTACTAGAATTCAGCATGGATAGGACAGGAATAAAGCTGGCTGGACTATCCGAATTTTGGATACTGTAACTTTCTTAATAGACGGTGGGTATGCGGTAAACATAATATATCTTGCCTTCAGCAAAGTGGGGGAAAAAAAGAGCTGGCTGGGGGATTCTGGGAGTTGAAGTCCCCAGGTCTTAAAGTTGCTAAGATTGGATATCCCTGCTAAATGGGCAGGACCCTCTACGACTCCTGGGTGGGGCACTGTTGCAAGCCACAACAACATCACAAGGATGACACCACAGGCAACATGGGGTCAGCACATTAGGCACATGTCACAACATCTTCGTGCAAGCATGAAAAGATTGATTGATTGATTGATTGATTGATTGACTGGGGTTCATATGTTCTCCACTCCAGAGGGATTTTGAACAGCTGATACGCTTCTCTGGATAGGAAGGTGTACAAAAAATCCTCAACTTAACGACTGATCACTTGAGGATGACCCGAAGTTACAACGGGCCCTCCCCAAAGCCTCCCCCCTGTTCCTGGTCACATGACTGCATTTGCAGGTGCTTGGCAACTAGCCCGCATTTACGACCGTTTCTGGTCACGTGACCGCAACTTATAATGTTTTTGTCAAAAACCGGTGTTTGCTTTATACGACCGCCGCAGAAAAGATCAGAAAATCAGGTCTGGTTACCGGATGACCTGCTTTACGACCATCACAACTTGACAACCATAATGGGCAGGCTCCATTACGGTCCTAAGTCAAGGACTGCCTGTGAAAGAAAATTAAGAGAAGCAGTGTAGCCAGAGAACCGTTTAGCGCTACAGTCAGAATTGCAAGAACAACGTTGAAATACAAGGGATGTTTTCTCCATCTTTTCTAGAGTTTGGGCACAATCCCGGAAGTTGGAGGGTTAGGGTTAGGGTTAGGCTCCCTCAGAGCCCCTCCTCGGGGGGGGGTGTCCCCACTCGCTTCCCTGTGCAATTCCCTTTCAGACTGGTTGACCGTCCCCACTGCAGTCTGTTGCAGAGCCCACAACCCATTTTGCGTTGAGCACCTCTCACTCTCCTTGATCCCTTTCTCTCCGGCCTCTTTCTGCAGCTTTCATCGGCTTCGAAGGCAACAACAAGTACGAGGTGCGAAACAGCCTCGGCCAGCACATCTTCCACGCGGAAGAGCAGAACGACTGCTGTACCAGGAACTGCTGCGGCTCGCTACGCCGCTTCTCCATGCGGCTGGACGACCCCAGTGGCCGCGAAGTCATCCGGCTTGTCCGTCCACTGAAATGCGTCAGCTGCTTTTTCCCCTGCTGCCTTCAGGAGGTAACACAGCGAGTTTGGTCTTGTGGGCGATGCGCCCAGGCTTCACTGGGAGACAGTGAGTTGTAGTCCTGCTTTAGGCATGAAAGACAGCTGGGTAACTTTGGGCCAATCACTAGGAGACGGCGAGTTCTAGTTTTACCTTAGGTATGAAAGCTGGCTGGGTGACTTTGGGGCAATCACCAGGAGACGGTGAGTTCTAGTCCTGCTTTAGGCATGAATACCAGCTGGGCGACATTGGGCCAATCACTAGGAGATGGTGAGTTCTAGTTTTACCTTAGGTATGAAAGCCAGCTGGGTGACTTTGGGCCAATCACCAGGAGACGGTGAGCTCTGGCAAGACAGCGCCAAATCACCCAGCCGGCTTTCGCGCCTAAGACAGGACTAGAACTCACCGTCTCCTGGTGATTAGCCCTGTGGTGGTGTGGGAAAGGATCCCTTCTGTCCTTTTAAAGCTGTCCTGGTATTCCTGTTGGGTGGATGTCCTGTCAATCTCTTGACAGCCAACTTTAACCAAGAGTGAAATATTCCCCAAGTTTTCTTTAACGAGATTTATGAAAAAAGGAATGAAATCCGGTTACAGAGATCTCAGTACGGTTCCTCCCTGGGACCCCAATTTTATCTCTCACCTGGTGGACTAACCTAAAGCGAAACTCTTTTTTTTTTTTTTTTTTTCAATATAAAATTTTTATTGTTTTCATCATAAAAAAAACAACACCAGTATTACACAATATTATTACACAATATTATATCCCACCCCCCCGGACTTCCCAAACCAAATCCCAGGCTAATATTCAGATATAAGTAAACGAATATTAATTTCTCTAACTCCACAAACTCTATTATAAACAATCC